AGGTAAAAATTGTCAAACCAACGGGAAAATGCCAGTTTCTTCAATATCATTATTTTGACGAGCGCCTGATTTCACCAAGCTGCGTCACATTTTGAGACGCTGAATGAGACTAGAACCAACTGATGTTACCATCAAACTATGCGACAGACTTTCAATTCTTCAAAATGTTGCCATCCTACAACAATGAATGATGACGGCGAAATGCAACCAAACACAGGCTGTTAAAGAGGGGGAAAAATCCCAACATTTTTGGGAGAACGACAGCAAACAACCTCCGCTCCTAAGGCCTGAAATAAAAGTGAAAGGACATCAAAGTCAAGAAAAAAAAGATCCAGGGAATCAGAAACGCCGAAATGAAGGATGAAAATGGTGGTTAGAAAAATCAGCTGTAAGTTCATCTCACAAATTGAAGCCTAGAAATGTAAAATCTAAACTGACCTTACAACTCTGAAAATAGGATCAGCTGCACAATTAGCAGGATAAAGAAAAGAGCTGACACTAAGACATTCTCATATTTTGAAAGAAATTACAAAAATTTTGCTCCAATATGCTGACTTGCTCAAAAGAAGATCTATTTTTTTCTAAACCCACTGTGGGTGTCTGCCTAAAAGGCAGAGAAGTCTACACTCTAGAAAACACTTTGAAGTCACCCAGCCAGTAGTACAAAATACCCCATCTGGTCACCCAGCCAGGAGAGTACCTGAAACGGATATCTCTGACCTGGTGCACAATGGAACGGATAACTTTCACCGTCGCATTAATGCGGCAAGTGACCGCAAAGTGCTAAGCAAACAACAACCCTGAGTGCGCTACAACGCTCGTAAATTGACAAACAGCAATTTTTTAATATATTCTAGGAGTGCAAAAGACAGAAAAGACAAAGAGAGAACAGTAACATTTAGACAACTCACCCCTTCCCTGATCCCGCGGATGATGGTGGTGTAGGCGATAGAGGGCACGGCCCACGCCTCCACGGACTCTTGAAGTCGTTGTTCCTGCAGGGGAAACCAAAGGGAAGCTTATAAATAAATAAATTTACAAATTAATTAATTAATTAATTCAAAAATCAATAAATAAATAAATGAATGAATAAATAAATAAATAAATGAATAAATAAATGACTGGCGTAGACACATACCTGAGCTGCCACAAGTGCTATGACCTCCCCCAGAGCTGGCAGCAGACCTTGCTTCAGTCGTGTGTTCTTCATGTTTTCTCGCAACATCTCAGACAGGGTCGACATTGACTGACAGAAACAGCAAAGGAACGAGAAATCACAATTTGGTGGCAGATCCCCAAGGAGAAATTTTTAGTGGTATCGGTGACCTAGTGGCTAGGCTACTGGAATCGTAATCATTAGATTGTGGGTTCGGGGTTGTTGTGTCCTTGGGAAAGACACTTTACACGAATTTCCCACTTGGTTCGGCCTTATCGGAGATGGACGTTAAATAACCTAATAGTGTTGATAGCAGCAATAAACCTATACGGTTTTTATGGAGAAATGTTCATGGGTATGTATATAACAATCTGGCTGTGTACAAGACCACATTCATACATGACATATATTTTCACAATACCATTTGCTCACTACAAAAAAAACGCTTCTATTTAAACAAAAGGTATGCACAATATCATTGAAACACTATCGTATAACTTCATTCTCACTTTAAAAAACAAAAAACTTTAGCATCGCCGACCATTTAACTGCTATAATGACAACAATTTCCTCGTTACACCATCAGCCCTGACTACTTACCTCCGACAGATTCACGCTGGTGTCGATTTTTTCTGTGAAATGTGCCACCAAGGCAAGAGCTCTGGAAAATTTCACCCGTCTGGGGACATTGATGGAGAAAATGAGGCCCAGGAAATTAAAATTAACATGTATATAAAGTTCACATTTCCACTAGCTTCCTAAAAATTATTTGAACTCTTTCTCTCCAGAAAGCTGACAGCAGCCCGGGCGCATTCCTTTACCAAGACTTCGACATTAAACTACTTTTCTGGATATTGCCAAAAACAGGTCTCTTTTATCGGGATTTCATTCATTAGATGAAGAATTATCTAAATAGGTTTTGATTTAATGACCAATTTAGTGACGTTTCTGTCATTTTTAATTTAGTACCAAAAACGGGCCCAGGCAAAGTGGGTTCACCCCCCCCCCCCTCAGAGATATAAAGTTAGGCCCCATTTACACATGCAGTTCATTGATCGACAAACTGTAGGATATCGAGAGAATGGCGGGCATCCTGTCAACTTCCCCGTAAAACTGAGCGTGGAAACGAGCAATCCTCTCGACATCGAAGGGTTCTCAGTCCAACCACCAGATATCTGGCGACGCCAGATATTTTCCAGCCGGCGAACTGAAGGCATGACAACGAAGGGAGCTGCTTCTTTGATGTTGCCCCAGGCGGAGTTGAAAATGCATTCTAAAATTTTCCTTAATATTGGTCACATAAAAAAACTGATAAGATTTTCGTGATCAACGATTACCAAGTTAATTTTTTTGGGTGTGTTCTGTGTGTTTGTCAAGGACTGACACTTTAACGATAAAAAAAACTGTATGTCTAAATGGAACTTCTCTCATCAACAAACTGTCAGTTTAACCATGACCCAGATCTAGCATCTGTCGGTTAAACTGTCAGTTTGTCCTTGAATGAACTACACGTCTAAATGTGGCCTTAAAGGAACGGAGACTTACAACTGGGACTGTGCACAGGTGGCTGTTCCTAAAGATGTGCTTTTATTTGGTAGGACTATCATAGAATGTAAAAAAAAAAATCAAACACTTTCCTGATCTCGTATTTCTATACATCACACGCACAACAGGCAGCTTTCACTGCAACATGCCTAACTTACTCAAAACATTTAGACGACTAAATTGAACATTTTCTTCAAAGAAGAATGACACTTCAAAACACTTGAAGCAGAACTTCTGTTATACTTAATCATTAAAAACTCCCTATCACAAATAGGTAAAGGACACAGAAAAACGATTTTTAGTTTTAGTAAGAGTTTTACGGCACTTGCAACACAATAAAGTCATATAAGTGCCGAAGATTTGAGGTGTTGCAAGAGAGTAACAAACATAAAAAAGAAGGAGGAGGGATAAGGATGATAGTTTTTATAGGAAAGAAGGAGCAAACCACACCAGAGTACCCGCCAACCACCCACTGAGAAAAAAGTTCTTCCCAAAAAAATGAAGTGCTCACATATCCAGATGAGAGGATTCTCTTATGAGCTTCGTCATGGCTCCGATGATTCCGTTCTGGGTCTGGAAAACAAAATCACAGGCAGCAAAGTTACTAAAAGAAAACATCGTAGACAGAAACCAAGCATGTGACAAGTGGAATACCCAATTACATTTAGGTCACACTGAAAATGATATTTAAAGTTGAAGGGCAAGAGAAATAGAAAAAGTTTTTAACATCCTATCTTATCAAAAGAGTGTAAACAAGCACATCTGAGCAAAAGTTGGATTCACTTGTGTCACAACGCGGTGGAATCAGGCGCTCGTCAATTTTGGGGAATGTAGAGTTATTGGTATCATCTTAAAGCTGATTTATTTGCCTTGCTGCCAATGAAATAAATATCAGTTATCATGAATAGAATTCAAGATATTTGCGATTGAAGGAAGTAAGGTCGCTTGGTTTTAGCAGTGAAATTAGAGAGAAAATGGCTTCCAATGTTTGGTAACTCCAATAGCTAAAGAGTCCTTGAAAGCTGAAAAATGACAATATATTTTGTGCCTTTAATCAACGTTTTTCAGCAAAATTCAGGTAGGGTCTGAGCAACCTGCCCAAAAAACAATTAAAATTGTGTTGATCAGGTTGTGAAATATCTACAACATTCAGGATTTCCTACAGCCAAACAGGAGACCATCTGCCACAAGCCAGCCCCAGAGCTCGAGGCACGTAGAAGGAAACATTGACTGAGCCTTAGGCAGCCAGACACACAGTTCTGCTGGGGCCTGCAGGACCGGTGGTGGACAGGCAACTGTCACACGAGGGACGGGAATGTCCGTTTAGAGGTGAACAAAGAGGAGGAGGAGGAGGAGGAGGAGGAGGAGGAGGAGGAGGAGGAGGAGGAGGAGGAGGAGGAGGAGAAGGAGAAGAAGAAGAAGAAGAAGAAGAAGAAGAAGAAGAAGAAGAAGAAGAAGAAGAAGAAGAAGAAGAACAACAACAACAACAACAACAACAACAACAACAACAACAACAACAACAACAACAACAACAACAAGGTCCTCACCAGAGCGGTAGACAGCAGTCTACAAGAAGCTACACAGGAGACGTAGTGCAGCAGCTGTATACGTTTCTGTGATGGGGGTCCCTTCTCCACCTGGCTGATGTTGTCTGTGATGGCTTTGGCATGCTTCAGGATCTCCTTCTCCGACAGACCAGACAGCTTGTCCACTGGAGTAGAGCAAGTTTTCGTTTTTTAGTTTTAGAAAGAGTTTTACGGCACTTGTAACACAATAAGGTCATACAAGTGTCGAAGATTAGAGATATTACAAGAGAGTAACAAACACAAAAAAGAAGGAGGAGAGATCAGGATGATAGATGTTTGATAGGAAAGAAGGAGCAAACCACCCCAGAGCACCCTTAGGTTAAAAAATTATTGTAAAAAAAAACTTGAGTAATTTTTGCACAAAAAGCAAGTGTTTTGGGCTTGGTTTTTTTTTATATATATATATTTTTTTTTTTTTTTTTAAATAAAAGTTTAATGACACTAGCAACACGAAAAGGTCATACAAGGAAGTAAAGCTTGGCACAGCATGTTTTTTGGAAAAGTTGTGTCAACCTTTTCCCAGCTGTGTTAACATATGTGTCATGACGAGGTGGAATCAGGTGCTCGTCAATTTTGGGACAAGTTGAGTTATTGGTATTGTCTTAAAGCTTGTTCATTTGCCTTGCTTTTGAGGAAAAAAATGTCCATATTTATCTTGGATAGAAGTTGAGATATTTCCGATTGGAGGAGGTGGGGGTCACCTGGTTTCAAAGGTAAAATTAGTGAGAAAATGGCCACCAAAATTTAGTTATTTACCTAGCTTCAGAGCCCATGGAAACTGAAAATGTGCATCTTTTATGCCTTTAATCAACGTTTTTCAATAAAAATCCACATAGAAATGTGTTTTTTAATTGACATGAAAGGTGTTGAGCAAATAAAAAAAATTCTATAAAGATTCCAAAACTTGCTGAAAAATGCCAGTTTTTTCACTTTTATTATTTCGACCAGCGCCTGATTTCATCACGCTGCCTCACATAGAAAGAAGAGAAAAAAATGAGGTCACTAGCTGTGAGGTTAAAGGTCACAGTCACAGATGTCAAAGTAAAATCTGCACCAGCTGACAAAACAAAGAAAAAAGGTTTTCTTTTAAAGTTACAAGCACAACATTTCTATGGCCAGTCCGATATAACAAAGTTAACCAGGACATTTGTCCATAACAACGTCTCTTCAAAAAAAAAAAGAAGACCTTTGAGTCTGTGAAAACAGATACACGAGTTGTACAAATGATAAAGGTCATTTTTACATATCGCAACCTCAGGGTTTTCTTGTCGTATCTCCATTTTTTCAACAGTGATAATGTGACTTCTTCTTAAGCTCACTCTTTGTCATGAACTGTTTTCACTGTTGTTAAAAATGGAGAAAGGACAAGAAAGGACTGAGGTCGCGACATGCAGATTTCACGACAGAATACTCACAGGTAAATGGGGGAACCGGCAGAGTCTTGGAGTCGTATTTACACACAGCAACTTTCTGGATCTGAAAAATAAAACGTCAATATCAATAAGTTATTATCATCATCTAGTGCCAGATCTGTGACAGACATTGGCGATCATGGTTCTCCATTCATTCCTTTGCTCGGATGCTCTTAAAAAAGCTACATTTCCCTGATCTTTCCCTGTCACCCACTTGTTCAGGTTCCCCAATATCAATAAGTTATTGAAAACTACTGTTTCTCAATTGTAGTTTAGGATAGTGATCTATTATTTCCAAAAGACCACTGACTTTAAACTAAGGCAGCAAATGTCATTTGTAATTGCTTAAAAAAATTATCTATTTTTTATTCTGGTGGGGAACGGGGGTGGGGGGGGAGCTGTTTTTGTTTTAGTAAAAGTTTAATGATACAAAAATGGTATACAAGTAAAGCAAGTGTGGAGTCTATGATATTGTCAGAAAACAAAGTGGAGACGCGTGAATACCTTAGGATTATCCACGATCTGAGTGACCACGAAGTCGCTGTCGTGGAAGATGAGTCGCTTAGTCTCCGTGCCGGTGTCCTGTAGACTGGCCTCACCATCAGTCGTGTAACCGATGGCTTCCCGCGTCGTGAGAGGCGCTTGTGTGGCCATGTGAGGGGAGGTCAGTCTCTCATCCGGGGGAACGGCCGTGTGCGGGCGAGCGCTGACCAGACACGACACATATAAATTGACTTAACGCAAAGACCCAAATTTTTTTTATTACATTGGCTGATGTCATACATATGCACATCGATATTTGTTCACAACATGATGGAATTAGGTGATCGTCAATTTTTGGACAAGTTGAGTTATTGATATCATTTTAAAAGTTATTCATTTGTCTTGCTTTTGGTGAAAAAAATACTCTGTTATAAATAGAAGTCGAGATATTTGCCATTGGAGGAGGTGGGGGTCGCTTGGTTTCAGAGGTAAAACTAGCGAGACAATTGCCGCCAAAGTTTGGCGACTTCCATAGCTCAAGAGTCCTTGGAAACAGCTAATTTACATTTCTTGTGCCTTTAATCAACATTTTTCCATAAAATCCACAACAGCAGTTCACAAGAGACTGACAAACATACAAAAGAAGTAGAGGAAAAATGACGATAGCAAGGATTAGGAAAGGAACTGTAAGGTCTCATGAGCTGGTGGATCACATCAAAAGCTCTCCCACAGTCTGAAAGTTCAAAACGGCATGCCCACTAGAATTACCGGTTTTCACAAATATTATTACTATTTCTTAACTAATCTGTTGCCACCATAAAAGAGATGAAAACTTTGTAGGAGAAAAGAAACAAGTCTTGTGCGTAACAATCAGCGTCATTGTGAGATAAACAGTCTGTAGTCTGTAATAGTATTATGTCTTGCACCCTAATGTTTTGGCTATGATTAGTAAAAGCAAAGTGAAGCAACTGTTCATGCTTGATGAGAGCTCTTCAATAAAAGAGTCATGGCACTTGGTGTGTGGCGGCTGACCAACATGGCACCTTGATGTTCTGTGTCGTGTGCTCATATTAACCCTTCCAGCCTCATGCGCGTACGTATATTTTCAGCAGCGCTTGTACCTCCCACCGCCCCAAGAGCATTTCTCAGTTTCGGGGGTACTAAATTAATTTCACATTTTTCTAAATTAGCAAACCTAATTAAACTTTTTTCTTAATTTTAGTAGAGGTTTTACGGCGCTCGCAACTGCATAAGGTCATATGAGCGCCTTAATTAAACTTTAATTTTCATAATATTTGTTAATTTATCTTTAAACATTATTATGTGTTATTATCTAAACCTCATTACAAAGATACTACATCAATTTTAGAATGCATGTCTCTTTTTTCTGAAATACTGCTGTATTGGCTGGGACTTGGGTTAGAGAGTGCACAAAAATGGCTGGGACTGGAAGGGTTAAGGTAGTTATCTGTGTCTATCCTGTTTGATATCGACCATCCACACCGACCGAATAACACTGGGAAAGGAGGGGAGGAGGAGGAGGAGGAGGAGGAGAGAAGGAAAACAGAAGGTACCTCAGAGTGAACAAACTTCCTCCACTCTCCATCCCTGGCGCCGTCTTCGGCCGGAGGTAGTCGCCCATCCCTGTGCCTGGTGAGAAAAACACAGGGAAACTGTCAGTTATAGTTTTGGTAAATTTTACAGCGCTCACAACTGCATAAGGTCATATGAGCACCAGAAGATTAGAGGTGTTACAAGAGAGTAACAAACATAAAAAAGAAGAAGGGAAGATAAGGACGATAGATGTTTGATAGGAAAGAAGGAGCAAACCACACCAGAGCACCCGCCAACCACCCACAGTCAACAGACAGGCATGACAAGAAGAGGTAAACTGCAGCTCTCTACAACAGACCACTTGTCCTGCAGCAAACTCAACAACAACCCTGCTGAATTAAAGACCCTTGTCTCGCTGGAAAATTGTGGAATCATAGGAAAATTAAAATGGACTAAATATGCAAGATTTATGAAAATACCATTTACATCTTTCGTAAAGTCTTGTTGGCATTTATTTTCTTCTTTTTTTGTTGAGCATTTTGTATACATTTTTAAACGAGATTTTTCCAAACATATCTGAGCATGTCATAAAAGCCAATCAAATGTGTGATTTCTTCTGTTTTAACAGGAAAAAACCCAAAACATAAAACCAGAACAAGCTATCTTCAGGGTCCCCATCAAATCCTTGAAATTTTTTCCAAGACCCCAATATTTTTTTCAAGACCCCAGTTCACGAGCAAAATAAGGCCACCGCGCATCAAGAATGATCCCCAAAAAAGCCCATACCAACATATCTATGACAAAAAAGTCAAAATTTTTTGTTAATGAAAGCACATGTACATTTTGTAGTACAGTCTTCAAACAATAGATGACTATAACAGAAGCTTATTTCACTCACAATGATACCTCACCTCTGTATTCCTTGCCATCACTTGATTCAATTACGTTTCCTCTTCATGAATCATCAACCATACAGTCTAGATAGCTATACTACTAATATTACACTGGCATTTCGCTTTTCCCGACTTTTTCTCGACTTCCTGATCAATCACAAAATTCCCGACTTTTTCCCCGATTTCACGACCCATCACAAAATTCCAGACTTTTTCCCGATTTCCCAACACATCACAAAATTCCCAACTTTTTCCCGCTTTCCCGACCCATCACTAAATTCCCGACTTTTTCCTCGACCCATCACAGAATTCCCAATTTTTCCCCAATGTCCTGACCTGGTGTCCCGAGACCTTGTACTTCCATCTCACCTGGCCGGCTCCCATCTACGGTGTCCAGCTGTGCAACAGGTCGCTCCATGCTGCGCCGCAGGTCCACGCCCTTGACCTTGCCCAGTGCTGACCCCCCGCCGTGGTCGAACACGGAGGACGCGGTGATGGTGGTGCTGCTGGCGTGCACCTCGGGCAGGGTGGAGGAGAAATCTTTGGCCAGATGGTTCAGCTCACCTTTCCAGAAACTGTGGCTCACTAGGTCAGGCCAGCCCATTCTGAGGAGTTAGAATACTGTCAATAATACTGTCAATAATAATCTAGCTCATTTATCACCCTCATCATGGCGTAAGAGGCAGCACTCATGCTACATCTACTCGACATTTTTCTAAAAAATTTACTCCAATTGTTGTATACAAACTGATTTTCGACCTCAAAGGCCACACAAACCATTCAAAAAAGAAATTTCAATTCAACAAACGCACATGTCAAAAAGTAGATCATTGAAGCAATGTTTATGTTGCTACATCACACTATCTACGTCTCGTGAAGGCAAAGTGTTAATATGGTAGGGGTAGAAAATGCATCAACTACTTGCAAATTCCCCATTTCGTGGTTTCCAGTTGTACCTGTGTTGGGGGTCTTTGTTGAGAAGACCTTGTAAAAGACTCATGAACTCTGGAGACGGCTTGGCAGACAGCCTAGAACCTGTAAGGACAAAACACCACTGTGTTACTCAACATTCCAATCACATTCTCAGCATTTTATTGACAAGCGGACAGTTAGAGAACATTAGGAGTACGCCATTGCCCGACATTTATAGTAACAGCCATCTTGTTTGTGTCATAAAATAGTGTCCTTCATTCTGACAAAAGACAAAAGAAGTTCCAGACCTACTGTCTCATTGTCTGATCTGGAAAAAAAAAGTGGAGTAAAAAAAAGAAAGCTTTTATTTTATCATTTTAGCAGTGTTATGATAAGGCGCATTATATTATATATGTTAAAGAATAGGTCAAACAAGATGACTGTTACTATAAATATCAGCCAATGGCGTACTCCCAACGTTCTCTAGCAATCAGCTTGTATTCTATTGTGACACAGTGACGTCACAGTATTTTTCACATTCATAGAACGGTAGTCAAACTGTCAATGTGATATTCTGGGAATCAAACCAAATAAAGTTTTAGTATAGTTTTAGTAGAGGTTTTACGGCGCTCACAACTGCATTAGGTCATATGGGGGTCAAGGGGCGGATGTCAACAGAGAAGTCCTTACAGGGAATCAGACTTACTCTGCTCACCTCTCTAGCTTCAACAGCACAAAGTCTGCTTCGACTATCAAGGCATCCCGGAAATAGTGGGTCACAAGAGAGTGACAAACATACAAAAAAGAAGTAGAGGAAAATGACGATAGTAAGGATGAGGAAAGAAAAAGCAGAAGTTCCCTGTTGCAGTTCAGGCACAGTTATGAGCGTGACATGGATGAATCAGCCCATTTACAATTACAATGCTACTGTGCATAAAAACTCGAGATGTGAATGTCCCCCCTCCCCCCCCTCTTTGGGAATGGGCTAAAGACACTTCGGTCAGTAGCACCGCCCCCGGGGGGGAAATAAAGTTTGGATAATAATAATAATAATAATAATAATAATCATCATCATCATCATCATCAGGCCATTGATGCTACAATATTCTGTAATCTGTTCCCAGGCCCCAAAATAGATCTTTGTTGTGGTCGACCTTGCAGAGGTATCATCTTTATCCCTCTTCATCTTCAAATCAGGTAGTTTAATAAAAAATAATTTTAAGAGAATTTAGCTATCCGTGAACTCATGTGTGTCTTTTTCCGTAGACATTGTGAATACCATTGACGCCGACAGATTTTATGTTTTTTTTATTGTCACCCATGATATAAGATAATAATATTATATATACTTATCTAATCCCAGAAGTTCATTCAAGAAAGTCAAGCAGCATTAACTCTTTATCTCCGTGGGGGGTAAACCCAATACGCCGGGGCCCTATTGGTATTAAATTTTAAAATGACAAAAACATCACTAAATGGGTCATTACATCAAAACAAATTAACCTATTTTGATAGTCCCCCATCTATCGAATGAAATCCTGATAAGAGAGACCTGTTTGTGGCAATTGCCAAAAAGTAATTTGATGTCAAAGTCGTCGCAAAGGAGGGAGCCCGAGCCGCTGTCAGCGACTCGCAAGCACAGGGGTTCTGGTTGTGAGCACCTGGGAGCAGTTTGCCGGGGAGAAAGAGTTAACCCTATCTGTACGTCCTGGGGTCATTTTGTACCCCCGGGGTTGTATTCTTCACATTTTACAATACTTCAAGTACGAAGATCTCTTTGAAACTTTCAGTATTTCTCAAAAAATCATTTTGACAGACTGCTGTGCAAAGCTTACGGATCGAAATAACGAGTAAATTTCCTCTTTGGAAAGTGGTGGCACAGAGTTCCCCATGTCATATGGATACGATAGTAAAACACGTCGTACGGATAGGGTTAAGTGGTGGCACAGAGTTCCTCACGTCGTATGGATACGATAGTAAAACACGACGTACAGACAGGGTGAAATAATCAGATTTTAAAACAAAGAACGACACACATCTTGAGTGGGACTCACAAATGATCGGGTAATAAGATGCAGGACCACATCAAAACGAGCAGCAGAAATAGTTAAATAATAATAATAATAATAATAGATAGCATTTGTATAGCGCATATCCCCGCTCAACAGCAGGCTCTATGCGCTTTACACTATATTATTACCCCAGCAGACCATAGAACACTCCGAAACATTCTCAGCTTCCCGGGAAGCATACAGTGCGAGCAGCCGATTAAGCGCTCAAACACTAACAAACTGACAAGATCTTTCGCTGTCTATAGCCGGGTACCCATTCCCACCTGGGTGAAGTGAGGAAAATAAGTGTAAAGTGACTTTCCCAAGGACACAACGTCGGGCCCCCGACGGGATTCGAACCCACGACCTTACGGTTGCGAGTCCGAGAGCCTAACCACTAGGCCACCGAGTTGTGGTGCAAGAATCTGACCTATGCTAGTTTTTTTGTTGTTGTTGGGTTTTTTGGTTTTTTTGGTCAGCGTTTTTCGGTGCTGCAGCTGCATAGGTCAAATGAGCGTGCTGGACACATTAAACGTTTCCAGTTGGTAGGAATTTTTTTAATTGCCCGGGTGGCGGTTGCAGCCTACTCTTATCGATTTTAGACCACTAAGGGATCCTTAACGTGCACACAGGATCTCTGAGATTTTTCGCCCTTGTCCGAGAAGGCTAGTTGTAGATCTTTCCTACCAAAAGATCAGGGGTGTGGCTGAAAGACAGCAGTAAGAAGGAGCCAAGGAGTAGCAGTAGAAAGAGTCAGAAGCCCAGAGGAGGGGGCATAGGAGGTGAGGGGGTGGGGGCAGAAAGGGGAGACGGAAGCAGACGACAGAACATTGCTAGAGAGCAGGAAAGGAGGTGAAAGGAGACAATTTTAGAACAGAAAATGTTTCCATTGCTACCCGGATTCGAAC